TGACAATGCAGGAGCCTAGGGTTCAATCCCTGGATCAGGAGGATCCCCTGGAGTAGGAAATGACAACGCACTTCAGTATTCCTCAGCAGGATAATCCCAAGGACAGAAGAGCCTGGCAGGCTACAGTCCATAGGGTCGCGAAGAATTGGACACAACTGAGTGACTGAGTGCACACACACATCTACAATATTATCATTTCAACATGAAATCAATATAAAAATTACTGAGATATTTTATTCTTTTTTTTTTTTCATTCTAAAACCTAGAAATCCTGTATTTTACACATACAGCCTATCTGGGTTTGAATAGTCACATGTCAAGTCCTCACTGGCCACGTGAGCTAGTGCTTACTGTGTTGAACAGCATAGCTTTTGTGGGGCAGGCTGACTTGCAAGGAGACAGTTATGGAGATAATCAGTACACAACCGATAAGCACCATGAATGAACAGTAGAGGGCGCTGTGGGTCTGCATGCTGCGTTGCTTAGTTGTGTCCGATTTTTTGCAGCCCTGTGGGCCCTATCCTTCAGGCTCCTATCCATGGGATTCTCCAGGCAAGGATACTGGAGTGGGTTGCCATGCCCCTTCCAGGGGATCTTGGTGCTATGGGCATGGACCAGGAAATAATAACAGAATCTTCTGGCACTTGCCCCTACTTCTGCCCTGAATTCCTTTTTAGAAGTCAATTTTGTTGTTCAGTTGCTCAGTTGTGTACAACTCTTTGCTACCTCATGGGCTGCAGCATCCCAGGCTTCCCTGTCCTTCACTATCTCCCAGAGTTTGCTCAAACTTATGTCCATTGTGTCAATGATGCCATCCAACCATCTCGTCCTCTGTCGTCCCCTTCTCCTCCTGCCCTCAGTCTTTCCCAGCATCAGGGTTTTTTCTAATGAGTCAGCTCTTCGCATCAGATAGCCAAAGTATTGGAGCTTCTAATGTATCAAAGTATCAGTATTCTAAATGTATTATAATCAGTATTCTATTGTGTCAAAGTATCAGTCCTTCTAATGATATTCAGGATTGATTTCCTTTAGGATTGACTGGTTTGATCTCCTTGCAGTCCAAGGGAAGTCAGTAGAACTTATTTTTTAAATATTTATTTATTTAGTTGCAGCACGTGAGAACTTTAGTTGCGTCACGTGGGATCTAGTTCCCTGTCCAGGGGTCAAACCCAGGCGTCCTACCTTGGGAGTGTGAAGTCTTAGGGCTTGCTTCGGCAGCACATTACTAAAATGTGAGTGTGGAGTCTTAGCCACTGGACCACCAGCAAAGTCCCTCAATAGAGCATTCTTACTCCTTTCCCCAAACTACAGCTACTACATACACTTAGCACAGACAGCCGTAAAATGAAGTATTCAGACTTTCTGTTGACTGATCTTTGATGGTTCTCCATCTAGGGTTCTGGAGATGAGCTGCTTTTGTTTCTCAGGGCTTTTCTTGGGCCCCAGGTTAGCAGCACAGCGTTCCCTGACCTGGTACAGCCATAGGTGGCATCTCAAGGCATCAGCACCCAAATGGGGCCCGAGTGACTGTCCTCACTGGCTGGGATGGTTTTTCTCTCCAGGATAAAGGGGCCCACATCTGGATTCAGAACAGTAATTTCAGCCACCAGAACTGGTGTGAATCTCACTCTGCCATTTACTTACTGGGTGACCTTAGGAGAGATACTTAACCTCACTGAGCCTTGGTTTCCTATCTGTACAATGGGGATAATGACAGAAGCTACCTCCAGTGATTGGTGTATCCGTGGAGAGAGATGATTATGAATAGTAAGAGCATGTGGTACATGATGGGCTTGCCAGGTGGTTCAGGGGTAAAGAATCCTCCTGCCAGTGCGGGAGATGTGGGTTAGATCCCTGGGTGGGAAGATTCTGTGGAGAAGGAAATGGCAACCAACTCCAGTATTCTTGCCTGGAGAATCCCCATGGACAGAGGAGACTGGCGGGCTACAGTCCCTGGGGTTGCAAAGAGTTGGACACGACTGAGTGAGCACACACACATGGTACATGGTAAACTCTGAATATATATTATTATTATTATTATTATTATTATTATTATTATTTGGGCATCAGGGATGTCCCCTCCAAACTCTGAATTAATTGCCCCCTCCTCACATTACTCTGGAGACCCCAACATTTGCATCACCTCCTCCTGTGTTCCTTTTTGTCATAGCTGTGTCTCCCATTCAGCTGTGAGTCCCCAGAACAGGAACTATGCCTTGTACATCTTAGCAAGAATAAAAACCTTCCCTTTGCCTAGGTTCTAGAACATTCGTTCTGTCCATCACCAGCTTCCCCTAATGGAGAGAGAATTCCTGATGTTCCTTCCACGCATCAAACTGGGTCAGTCTCGCCACACTTACACACTCTCAAGACCCCTGTGCTTTTCCTTTGAAGCGTTTAGCACATGTAATTAATGAATTATCTGGGGAATCTGCTGTGAGTCCCATGAGGGTGGGGCTGGAGGCTGCACTGTTCTTCACTAAGTTCTCGGTTCACAGTACGTGGCACATAGCAGATGCTCAGGAAATGCTTGTTGAATGAATGAGAGACTGTCATTCACTCTGGAAGATAAGTGATCAGAGACTGCTCTCAGAATAACGAGAGCTTAAAGAGCTTTTGTAACTGACCTTTTTAAAATCACTTGCTCAACATCCACCATACATTTCTCTCCACCTCTCTTAAATAACACATTCTCAGTGGACCTTGTAAAACCTTCAAGCTGTGCTGTCCAATAGAAATATAATATGATCCATGGATGTACTCTTACATTTTCTAATACCTACTAATTTTAAAAAGTAAAAGGAAACAGGTGAAATGAATTTTAATAATATATTTTATTTAACCCAGCATGCCCCCAAATTTATCACTTCAGCATGCAATCAACATAAGGATAGCTGATAGCGATTGTACAGTCTCTTTTTTTGAACTAAGTCCAAAATTCAATGCATATTTTGTACTCACAGCACATCTGGATTTGGACTTGCCACATTTTCAGTGCATGGTACCCACATGAGGCTCATGGCTGCCATACTGGAAGCTGTAGAGAAACTACTGTGGTTTTCAATTTCTTCTTCCCAGAGTATAAACCACTGTGTGAGGAGGCAAGCCTCTTCTCACACCTAAGAAAAGATGAACACAGGTGAAGCTGATCATGCAGCACTGGACAGAACCTGTCCCCATAAGAGACAAGAAGGAAGGGGTTGATCATACCAAGAGGTGCCATGCCTGTGGGGCTTAATGCATGCCGGAAATTTTGCAGCTACCTTTACATTGTGCTAATTCAGTTGATCTTCTAGCAGAACTTTGAGGGAGGCTGTCCTCTTATTATCCCCATTTTACAGATGGGGAAGTAGAAGCACAGGGATTGAAGTGACCCATTTGATCATGGACAGGTAATAAGTGGTGGAGCTGGGATATGAACCCAGGCAGCCTGGCTCCAGGACCTGTGCCTCAGTTGGTCACCTCTGTGAGCAGACTGTCTCAGAATTGGCCCCTGGCATTTCTCCATGATGCTGTCACAGACAGGACCTAGAGTTGGTGCTACCCACTTGGATTTGTTAACACAACAAATTATGTTGAGCCCCTTCTGTGCACCAGACCACACGCTCACAGAGCTCACTTGTGAATGAAAGTTGGTCAGTCATGTCTGACTCTTTGCAGCCCCATGGACTATGCAGTCGATGGAATTCTCCAGGCCAGAATACTGGAGTGGGTAACCTCTCCCTTCTCCAGGGTATCTTCCCAACCCAGGGATTGAACCCAGGTCTCCTGCATTGCAGGCGGACTCTTTACCAGCTGAGCCACAAGGGGAGCCCAAGAATACTGGAATGGGTATCCTATCCCTTCCCCAGGGGATCTTCCTGACTCAGGAATCGAATCAGGGTCTCCTGCATTGCAGATGGATTCTTTACCAACTGAGCTATCAGGGAAGCTCACTTGGAGGGGAGAAATTCAGTAACAGACACTCCCCTAGATGGCATCACTGGGATTCGTAGGAAAAGCGCAAGCCTGAAAGAGGGCGTTGACAAGTAGACACTCTGATAGATTCATCGTTTAGGAAGTTGGCACCAGAGGGAGAGGTATGTTGGTGTCAGGGAGAATAAAGCGCCATTCCAGTCCAAAGGGGGATGCCCAGCCTGATGTGTCCTCGAGGAGGTAGGGATGCTGGCCTCTGGGTGCCAGGAGCTCAGCCCAGCAGTGTGCCGGGGAGCCCCAGGACTATGCCGAAGGGACTGTCCGCCAAGAGCCAGCATCAGGTTAGCTGCGAGGCCAGAGCTCGAAATTCACAGCCAGGAACAGAGGGAGGAGATGATGCTAAGCCCCAGAAACACACCTTGTGGAGTCTCACTGACAGGACAAAAAGAAAATGCCCATAAGCAAGAGAACAAGTGCATGAAAGTAGCTCCTCACCACTGGTCATCCAGTCATTGGTGTGTTCATCAGTCAGGAGACATTTATTGAGCACCTTTGGTATGCTAGGAACTGTTTGACATAACTGTCACTGAACATTTGTTGAAACTGGTATCTTACTAGAGAGTCAACAATTTCTCTTTAATTAGCAGTGTCAAGAAATATGCCCCAGATGTGTCCCCCTTTCCCTTAAAACATGTGTCATATCTGAATCTCCAACATTGCCTGTTAATAACAGTAAAAATAGTAAGAGCTGTTAATAACCTACTGTGTGCCAGGCCCTGTGCTAAGTACTTATATACAGCTTCATTTGACCCTCATAGCCGGCCTAGCAAGTAGTTTCTGTTATTTACCCCATTTTACAGATGAGGAAACTGAGGATCAGAGTGGGCAGTGACTTGCCCAGGGTCACACAGCCAGATGCAGTGGAGCTGGAACTTGAACCCAGGCTTTCTACACCATACTTGGAACCTTCATTTCCCTTCTTCCTCCCCTCAATCCCATGTTTGCGCATGTGGAGAATGATCACATTTGGTTATAGACTCCGATGCCATGGTCACACGTGATTCTTTCTCTTGTTGTTTCCAAAGGTGGTGGCTCTTAGTAAGAGAAGTCAGGAGGCCGAAGCCGCTTTCCTGAGTGTTTACAAGCAATTAATTGAAGCTCCAGGTAAGACTTGCTTGGACTCCATAATTGAATAAAAAACAAGAAGAAACTGCCATGAGGACTGTTACACAGGGACCTTCTCTCAGTGGGTTCTGGGGACAGGCCAAGACTCCTGGGCAAGGCCAGGCCCCGCCATGGGGAGGAGTTGTGGAGACTGAGGGGGTCTACACCCATTCTGGTGTGATGTGTCCCTACCCGACTCGTCTGTCTTACCACACTGCCTTCCAACAACAGCCGGGGAGCTTTGGGGAGCTCCTAGTGAGATCTCCCACCCTGGTCTTCTTGAGGAGCTGAGGGTCTTGCCCACCAGAGCCCCCATCCACTTCCCACAAAGAGCAGAAGGCACCCAGTGCTCCCTGGCAGCCAAGGGCGCTGGAGGAAAGACTGCAGATGTTTCCACCAACATGGCATGGCCAACCTCAAAAACTTGATGTTCAGCCAAAACCAAACCCACACAGCACGTACTGTATGACTATTTACATAAAATATGAAGACAGGCAGAAATTAATAGCAGCACTATTCACAGTGGCTGAAGGGAGAAACAACCCAAATGTTCATCTGTGAATGAATAAATAAAGTGGTTTACTCATCCAGTGGAATATTATTTAACCATCAAAAGGGATGAGTTGCAGACACATGCCACAGTGTGGATGAACCTTAAAAATATAATGCTGAGTGAATGAAGCCAGATACAAAAGGTCACGTAGTTTCTGATTTCATTTATATGAAGTATCCAAAATAGGCAAATCTGTAGAGACAGAAATAAGACTGGTGGTCAGCAGTCTGAAGGGAGGAGAGAGTGGGGACTGAATGCTTAAAGGGTGTGAGCTTTCCTTTTAGGGGGATAAAAATGTTCTCAGCCTAGATAGAGGAGGTAGTTGACCAACATCATGAATGTACTAACTGGCACTGCATTGTTCACTTAAATGTGGTAAATTTTGCATCACAGAATTTCACCTAAAAAAAAAAGCACTCATGCTGTGAGAAGTCAAGAGGGTAATTTTTCTTGGATGGGGTGATAGTTCCTGGAAGGGGCATTTGGGCGCTAGATATGTTTTTTGATGTGGATGTGGGTTACAGAGATTTGATCAGCTTGAGAACCTTCAACTGTGTCCCTGAATATGTAGATATACTTCTGCAAACAGTTTCCCGTTTTTAAAATGGCCCATCCTCTGCAACTTTTTCATTTATTGACCTGGAAACGGGAACCCAGAATGTAGTGATTTGCTTAATAATGGTGGAGCTGGGAGAAGACCCCACTCTGCTAACTCTCTCCACCCAGACAGCGGCTCTAATCCATTCCCAGTACTCCACACAGGTGCAGGAATTAGTGAGGTCAGGGGTGATTGGGGCTGGGGGTTTATGAAGAAGAAAGTGAGATCCCGCTCTAGGCTGAGCCATGGAGAAGGCAAAGTCATTTATGGTTGATGTCAAGGTCGTTTGTGAGATCTCTGTGATGGGGATGGGAAAGTCTCTCATTGCATCTGTCTTGGGCACCTGGGGTGGTGTAAATAGTGTCCTCCCCAAATGTTTGTCCACTCTGAACCTCGCAGCGTGACCTTATTTGGAAGCAGGGTCTCTGCAGATGTCATTAGTTAAGGATCTTGAGATGAGACATCCTGGACTTAGGGAGGACCCTAAATCTGATGATGGGTCTCCTTATAAGAAGAAAGGGAGTTTTAGGGACACAGACACAGAGGAGAGGGCCATGTGAAGACAGCGCAGAGGTTGGAGTGATGCAATTGCCAGCCAAGGCATGCCTGGGACCACCCGGAGCTGGGAGAGGCGAGGAAGGAGCCTCCACTGGAGCCTTCAGAAGGAGCACAGCCCTGACAGCACCTTGATTTTGGACTTCTGGCTTCCAGAACTGAGAGAGTAAACCTCTGTGGCTTTAAGCCATCTTAGTCAGTGGTGCTTTGTTATGGAGGCCCCAGGAAACTAATATAGCAACAGTGATGTGACGCTTCCCTCTGAAAGCACATGGACTGGGTGAGGAGGGAAGTCTTCTAGCCTGTTCTACTCAAAGTGTGGCCCAGGAGCCAGCAGCATTGGCTTCGCCTGGAGCTGGTTACCAATACAGAACCTCGGGCCCCTGAAGCCTCTGCATTTTGACAGATTCCCCGGGAGATCTGGGAACGTATCACAGAGAAGCACCGGCCAGGTATAGAAGTTGCACGTGCTCCACCCTTTGCACATTACGGGCCCCGAGGGAACAGGCCCGACCAGTCTCTGTCACCCTGGCACAGATGCCTCACAGTCAGGGAGAGATGGGACGACTCAGCTCTGGGCACTTTCAAAAACTATTTCCAGAACATCTGTTCCATGTCACAACTTGGATACTCGTAAGAGGCTATGCTAGTTTCCCATGGTTCCTGGAACACACTGCCACAAACTGGGAGGCTTAAAACAACAGATTCTTATTCTCAGTTCCGGAGGTCAGAAATCTGAAAACAAGGTGTGTGGGCATGGCTGTGCTCCCTCTGAAGGCTCTAGGGGAGGATCCTTCCTGGCCTTTTCGAGCTTCCGATCCCTTGGCTTGTGGCCACATCACTCCAGTCTCGGCGTTTATGTTCACACAGCTTCTTCCCTGTGTGTCTCTATCCCAAATCCCCCTCTCTGTTCTAAGACTGGTCATTAGATTTAGGGGGAAAAGGCAGCCCACTCCAGTACTCTTGCCTGGAAAATTCCGTGGACAGAGGAGCCTGGTGGGCTACAGTGCATAGGGTTGCAAAGAGTTGGACATGACTAAGTGACTAAACACACACACACACAGACACACACACAGAGAATCCAGGATGGTCGCACCTTGAGATCCTTAATTACATTTGCAAAAGACCCTTTTTCCAAAAAAGGTCACATTTACAGGTTCCAGGCATTAGGATCTAGACGTGTATTTTGGAGTCACCGTTCAGCCCACTGCAGTGGCACCTGTAGACTCACTCTTCCCCAGTGCCGTGCTCCGCCCTGCTTCTGCACCCGCAGGAAGGCAGCATGACCGCGTGGGTTTCCTCAGCCAGGATGCTTGGGTGGCAAGCATGGCCGAAACCAGACAGCACAGCCCTCCAGGCCCTGTGCCTCCCCCCACAGGGGCCTGACCCCCCGTGGCCTGAGGCCAGGGCAGCTGTGTCTGCAGCCCCGGTCATTGTCACCCTTACTGAGAACCACACCAGGCACATGGCGGAGAGTCCAAGAGGCTGTCCCGTTCCTTGCAGCCTTTTGGCTTATGATGTCTCTACCCTTATCAGAACTGGCTAGGAAAACATTTTGGAAAAATGACACCCTCTTATTTCCCACTCTTTTCTTTGGGTTTCACAGTCTCAGTGGTGAATGATGTTGGAGGATGACCAGTATGGACTCCAAAGATACCTCCCACAAATCCACACTCCAAAGATAACCTCCCACAAACCTACACGCCCAGCTACTCCTGTGTGCCTCGTAGTACCTCTCCCGTAGCACCAGGGGGCAGCATTGAGATGGGCTTGTGTTTCCGTGCTCAGACCCCAGTTCAAGTCCTGCCTGTACCACTTACTCACTGGTTTGCTGTAGACGAATTGACTCACCTCTGAGCTTCTATAAATTGGGAGTAGTTTATCAGAGCCTGCCTCATACAGTCATTGGGAGGCTTCAGTGTGCACGCACATGGTGGCACTTGCTAAGTGTTAACTCTTGTCATCACCTGTGTGTCCCTCAGACAAGTGAAATTCTCCAAGCCTGGGACTGAATTATACTAAGTTTGAGTACTCTGAATCCAGTCCACAGTAACCACCTAGTAATTGTTTCTTGATTGAATTAGAAAAAAGATTCAGACACAGAAAAAGGGAAAAGAGCTATTTAAATGAAAAGGTACTTTTTTCAACTAGTGCTTTCTGTTTGTCACGTGTTTACCTACTCAGATGGCATTTATTGAGTGCCTGCTGTGTGAACAGGGAGCATGACACTGGAAACATGGCCGTGAGTCTCCTGACGCAGACACGGGCCCAGCCCTCAGGGAACTTGCATTCTGGTGGCAGAGGTAAACAGACCATCATGCAAATAACCTGTTGTCACAAATCCAGGAGAGCATTTGGGGTAAGGAGTGGCTTACATCCTCCCCCTTGGAAAAAGAGCATCATTTCTAGGGTTCACGATGGGGCCCTCATCTTTCTGGAAGTATGTCTGTTAACAGACGAGTCCAGAACCGCACTGCCAGTCAGGGACCGTGGGAGCTCCCAAGATTGGCCTGGAACTTCCTGGAAGGTTCTGGTGCCCTCTTGCCCCTCTCCCCAAAGGGTCGTTCCAAGCCTGGTGCTGACTCCACATGTCTGCCTTCCCAACTCTAGAAATGGAGGGGCGGTGCGGGGGGAGGTACATCCCCAGCTGTCACTGAGTTAGAGAGAAGGAGCCTTAACTGATGGAGACATACCGTAGGAACAGCCCCTTCAGGGCTCTAATTCATTTTCAAGACATTTAAGAATAACAAAATGTTTTAATGATTTCTTAGGGGAATTAGGAAGACATATTTTTGTTCTCATTAAATTTTATCCTCAGACACAAGAACCAAATGTCAGATGTGTTGTTGGTGCTCAGAGCTTCCCTGCTCACTGTCCCCGCCACACACACACCGCCCCAACCCTCTCCATAAAAATAACACTCCTGGAAAATTTGCCAGGATGCACACTCTCCTGTTTTTATATTTCTTGACAGGCAAATTATTTGTCGAAATACTTCCTCCTCCACCTCCCCCTCCCCTCCCCCTCCCCCCCAACAAGCCACACAAGTCCTGATTCAACATTTTTGTTTTGAGTGACTGCTGCCAACACAAATCTTTGGCAGAGAATGCGATACAGCGTGATTGCTCAGCAAGTATTTTGATAAGTGTGCAGCCTGTATGTCTGTAATTACGAAAGAAAACCGTAAATCTTTTGGATATTGTTCACACAGATGTGGCGTGAAGTGAGAAAAAAAGCAGTAAAACGTGTTAAAAGCATAATTAATGTCATTGTTGTGGAGGATGATTTGATTTA